AATACAAATTTCGGTGTTGTTTTTTATTTTATTTTGAAAAACAGAAAAAATCGAAACTAGTAGCTGGTGTTTATTTGTTCCAACATCGCACACAACACATCTATTAGAAAAAATGTGATTGTTTATACAATGTCTTTTTGGAGTTGTTGTTGGTGGTGTTTTCCTCTACGTCTTGGTTAAATGTCGTGCTAGCTTCTCCATCCACCACCACACCTCCTCCTACACAATATGGTGTGTAGTGAGTGTGTTTTTTATTGATAGTTTTTTTTTTCAAAAACTTTTGTTTGTTTTGATGAAAAAAAGAAAAAAAATCGGACTGAAGACCTCCTTGTTTTGATTCGAAAAAATAACAACAGCACACACAACAAAATGTGATCGTGAGTTGAAAACATAACAGAAACAACAACAACATCAAATTTGAAATTGTCATAAAAATGCTAATAAAGAAGGCAAACTGCTGTGGAAGAAATGAAATTAAAAGACGATGAAGAAAAAAATAAAAAAAACGGCAAAACAACTAAAGAATTAAATTTTAAAGCGTGTCAGTCAGCGGTCGTACGATTTTTCTTCGTCATCGTTGCGTGAGTGTGTGTGTGTGCGAATGGAGGAGTATTTTTTTGCGACGCAAAAAAATTAAATTCCAAATGTTTGGGGTTAGGATTTTTTTTTTTTTTTTTTTGAAGTGCTGAAAAAAACAATCACTTTCAGTATTCCGTAAGTGGAAATGAAGTCTTTCATGTTGGTGAAATATTTACAAAAACAAAATACCACTTGGAAATTTTAGCCCCTCTCTCTGATATTTGCACTTGAGATTCGAATTTTTTTTTTTCGATGATGTCTAAAAATTAGATCACGAAGAAAATGACCTTTTTTAGGCAATATTTTATTAAAAAATATTTTTTTATAATTTTTCCACAGAAAATAGGAAAATAATATTTATTTAGGGCTATAATAATATATTTAGGATCAGGACTCTAAAGAGACCATATCCTCAATTTGCAACCGCCATTAGAATACATTTCAATATATTCAAAATGGTTATCTCAAAGTAACCAAATCCAAAGGGTTACAATCAAACCCCCTCTACCCTCACAAATCAATCAATCAATTTATTTAATAATTAAATTTATATATGTATATGTCCATATATGTATATAATACACAAATAATCGAGCTGAGGTTAACAGACTTTTAATTGAGCCCAAACAACAAACCATATATGGAATTTTAAAGCTCGGCTTAAGACGACAATCGACGAAAAACAAAAACAGAAGAAAAAAAATTAAAAAAAATTATTTCTTGTTATTGTTGTCAACAAAATTTTGTAAACAAATAAACAAAAAATAAATAAATAAAATGTGTGTGAAGGGAAAGAAAATAGCTCAAAGAATTTAAGGCAAACATACATACATAGCATACATATGTACATATATAGGCAAACAAACAAATAGACATATAACCCAATTAATGGGGTTTTTAGCGTAAACAAAAATATATTACAGGTCATTGGCTTGGGAACGACCCAATGGAGAAAAATAATTTCGGAATGAAAAATTACAATAAAATGAAAAATTTTAAAATATTTACTATAAATAGTAAATTTTCTATAAATAGCAAATTTTAAGAAAATTTCCCATAAATTCGAAAATTTCCGACAAATAGTAAATTTTGTGAAAATTTACTAAAAATAGTAAATTTTGTGAAAAAATTCGATAAACAGTGAAAAATTTCGATAGATAGTAAATTTTGTGAAAAATTACTATTTATAGTAAATTTTGTGAAAATCTACTATTTATAGTAAATTTTGTGAAAATTTACTATAAATAGTAAATTTTGTGAAAATCTACTATTTATAGTAAATTTTGTGAAAATCTACTATTTATAGTAAATTTTGTGAAAATCTACTATTTATAGTAAATTTTGTTGAAAATTTACTATTTATAGTAAATTTTGTGAAAATTTTCTATTTTTGAAAATTTACTATAAATAGTAAATTATGTGAAAATTTACTATAAATAGTAAATTATGTGAAAATTTACTATAAATAGTAATTTTTGTGAAAATTTACTATAAATAGTAAATTTTATAAAAATTTACTATTTATAGTACTTTTTGTGAAAATTTCTGATAAATAGTAAATTTTGTGAAATTTTGAACTGTAAATAGTAAATTTTGTGAAAATTTACTATAAATAGTAAATTTTGTTGAAAATTTTCCATAAATACTAAATTTTGTTGAAAATTTCCGATAAATAGTAAATTTTGTGAAAATTTCCAATAAATAGTAAATTTTATGATTTTTTTTGTTCTATAGAAAACAGTTCGATCTGTGTCTGAGGCACTTTTTTCTATAGAAAATATTTCGGTCTCAAAGCCTGAGGCATATTTGTTTTAAAAAAAAATTAATATTTTTTGTAATTTTATTGAAAATAGTATTTTGTTCAACGAAAATTTACTATTGAAAATAGTAAATTTTTTTGCAGCGAAAATTTGCTATTGAAAATAGTAAATTTTTTTGCAGCGAAAATTTTTTATTGAAAATAGTAAATTTTTTTGCAGCGAAAATTTACTATTGAAAATAGTAAATTTTTTTCAGCGAAAATTTACTATTGAAAATAGTAATTTTTTTTCCAGCGAAAATTTACTATTGAAAATAGTAAATTTTTTCCAGCGAAAATTTACTATTGAAAATAGTAAATTTTTTTCCAGCGAAAATTAACTATTGAAAATAGTAAATTTTTTTCCAGCGAAAATTTACTATTGAAAATAGTAAATTTTTTCCAGCGAAAATTTACTTTTGAAAATAGTAAATTTTTTCCAGAGAAAATTTAATATTGAAAATAGTAAATTTTTTTCCAGAGAAAATTTACTATTGAAAATAGTAAATTTTTTCCAGCGAAAATTTACTATTGAAAATAGTAAATTTTTTTCCAGCGAAAATTTACTATTGAAAATAGTAAATTTTTTTCCAGCGAAAATTTACTATTGAAAATAATAATTTTTTTTCAAGCGAAAATTTATTATTGAAAATAGTAAATTTTTTTGCAGCGAAAATTTTTTATTGAAAATAGTAAATTTTTTTGCAGCGAAAATTTACTATTGAAAATAGTAAATTTTTTTCAGCGAAAATTTACTATTGAAAATAGTAATTTTTTTTCCAGCGAAAATTTACTATTGAAAATAGTAAATTTTTTCCAGCGAAAATTTACTATTGAAAATAGTAAATTTTTTTCCAGCGAAAATTTACTATTGAAAATAGTAAATTTTTTTCCAGCGAAAATTTACTATTGAAAATAGTAAATTTTTTCCAGCGAAAATTTACTTATGAAAATAGTAAATTTTTTCCAGCGAAAATTTACTTTTGAAAATAGTAAATTTTTTTCCAGAGAAAATTTACTATTGAAAATAGTAAATTTTTTTCCAGCGAAAATTTACTATTGAAAATAGTAAATTTTTTCCAGCGAAAATTTACTTATGAAAATAGTAAATTTTTTCCAGCGAAAATTTACTTTTGAAAATAGTAAATTTTTCAGCGAAAATTTACTATTGAAAAATAGTATTGTTTTTCAATGAAAATTTTTCAAACAAAAAAAAAATGCAAAAAAATTATGTAATTTAAAAAATATCAATTTAAATAGTATTTTTTATATAATTACGATTTATATTGTCGACTTGTAGGTGTGTGTGAATTTCCCTTCCTTTAATGAAACCTTTGGTTAACTTCCCACCTAAATGTTATTTAATATTATATTTTGTATTTTGATACTTCCAAATCCCAAAAAAATCAAAAAATAAAGCCTAAAAATCTCAAACCTTTAAGCCTAATAAGGTGTTAATATAATTTTTGTCATATTTTTTTTGGTAATTTTGGCATTTTACCTTTGCTTTGAAATTCAATACCATCAGCCCAGCAATCATAACACAACACCAAGATAATTTTTTTTCTGTTCAAATGACGTAAACTTTTTTCGAAAAAAGGTAATTTATACTCGAGGGAAGAATTATGAACCATAGTTTGGCAAAGAAGACTATGTGTGTGTTTGATGTGTGGGGGTAAAGGTTAAAAAATCACCGATGAACGAAAAAAATAACAAAAATCATCACACAAGCATTAAAAATGAATTTGAGTAGAAGGTGTGTGAGATGTGTAGGTGAGAAAAAAAATCAATAATCATGATGAGAGGGGGCTTTTTATTGTTTGACGCACGTTTGGCAAATATTGGAAAAGAATATTTTTTTTTTGCTAAGAATATCGAAAAAAATTATTAGTCATCAAAGGACCTAAGGCAGTTGTTCTAAAAATGTTAACTTTTGTAGAAACGTTTCATAACATTTTTAGATATATTTTCTTTGATTTTTTTTTAAATGTAACAAATTTTAATAAATAAAAAATATTTATTATCTACTGACTGTAAAATTATTACTTTATTGAAAAAAATAAAAAAATAATATAAAATTTTCTATTTTTTCTAAATTTATATTATAGGCATTTTTCTGATTTTTTTTTTTTAATTTTTAAAAAACATAATATTTCTTTAGAAAACTCTAAAAATTATAGTGGTCTTTCTTGAAAATATATTCAATTTAATTAATTCTTCAGAAAATTTACTATTTATATTAAATTTGGTAAATTTTTGCTGAATTTCCCATTTGATTTTTTGTTGTTCTCTTTTTCCCTTTAAAAAATACGTCGTATTTTTTTCAATATTTTAAAAAATATTTGGAGTAATCCTCAACCGAGCAATAGAGGAGTAATGATTTCTTCATCCATTTGGAGTAATAAGCGAGCAATGTATGAATTTTGTTTTGCCAAAAAATTCCACGAAGTTGGAAAAAAATTGATGTCTCGCCTTATGCTCCAAATGGATCAATAAGGGATGCATCAAAGCATTTTTGGCATGTTTTTTTTTGTTTGATGTAACTGTTGTTTAACTGTTGCTTTCGTCATGTTCGATTATTTCTTTATGGTTGTCCGTCCATTTGCTCAGTTTTCTTGTGTCCGTCTGAAGTGAAACACGTGTTGTAAGTGTAAATAAAGTGTAATTAAAAAAATTAAAAAAGTGTAATTAAAAAAATCAATTGGTAAAATAATGTGTGATAATTTTGTTTCTAAACGTCATCTTAGACGGCTTGTAAAAAAAGAAATTGAAAATTTCTCAAATGTGTGATAATTTAGAAATTAATCAGTCATCAAATGAGGGTAGCCAATCTCCTGACAATTTTTGCTTCACTATGAGTATGGTTCCAATTAAAGTATATGGTTTCTTGGTAGATAGCGGCGAAGAATACGTAGTCGGTAACGCATTTACAGATGCAGTAAGCTTGTTTCAGTACCCAGTGGACTCTAAAAAGTGTTTAGGAATTTGTAAGGCGAAAACACTAAATATCCACCGAGAGAAAATTAACATGCGTGACATATATTGCAAGATATTTTGCGTACCTGATGGGGAATATTTTGTATTTATTCCTATTCTACACCACTGTCAAATTTAGTAAATACTAATATTTAAACTATATTTCAAACTATTTTTCTACCTTAAGAACCATGAATTTTAATGCGAACATATTCCAAACTCAATCAGTTTTTACGGATGAAACTGTACAAAGCACACCGAATAATGTCGCAGGTAATGTTAACTCATAGCTCTTTTTATATTTTTTATCATAGTAATTATTTGATTTTATGTTCATTTCTAGAAACAAACAATGAAACAAAAAACACCAATAAAAAATTGGAAAACAAAATTGATCTCCTTCAAACTGAAGTCGAAGCTTTAAAGAAAATTATGTGTAAACAGACAATTTTGTTAGAACAGATCGTTAAACACATACGCCCAACTAGCAAGGATCTCAAAATTTTTCCAATAAATTCACTAGAGGAATTAAATTCGGCAGAACAATTAGTTAATAACGAGCCTGAATCAGAAGTGGTAAGCCAGAGTTTTTAATGCATAATTTAAGTGAATTTGGTACTAAAAGCTAATTATATTTATCTTTAATTATTTTCAGATATCATATATGAAACTAAAATTTGGCAAAGACAAAATAGAAAAGGCGTTACATGCAATGATTGGTGACAATATTTTGCTTCGGGTAAATTGGGATGGAGCTAAAAATAAGACAGCCATAAACAAATATCGGTTGTTTAACTTTTTTTATTTCGGTAATAGCTTGATTTTATAACGTGTTTTAAATAATATGTACATGATGTTTATTTTTCCTTTATTTTTGCAGAATCACTCAGAGACACCTACGAAACTTATCCTGAATTTGAAAAATCTTTTAAGTTGGCCTTTCGCAAATGTAAGGCAACATTTTACCGGCAAACCTACAGCCTAAAATCTAAATAAATAAAGTATTTAATATGTTTTTTTAATTATAAGAAATTATAGTACAAAAATGAATTATTTGTTTTTTTTTCGTTAAAAATAAATGATAAAATATATATTCTTTATTTTACTCTTTTCTTTTACTTCTTTACTTTCTTTTACTCTTTCAGGAGATAACAAAGATTACTCCCTTGATTCTCCTTTCCGAGATCAAAAGGAGTACTCCCTATATGCTTTTTCAGGAGATAACAAAGATTACTCCCTTTGTCCTCCTTTCCGATATGAAAACGAGTACTCCGTCTATGCTCTTTCAGGAGATAACAAAGATTACTCCCTTTGTCCTCCTTTCCGAGATGAAAACGAGTACTCCGTCTGTCATCCAATGGGAGCTCAAAAGGAGTGCTCGCCTCCTAGGACATGCAATGTTAAAAAAGAGTATAAAATGCAAGAGAGTCGGAGATTTAAGGAGTACTCCATTGCTCGAAAAGGAGCGTCCTACGATTAATCGTTCCAATTTTTTAACCAAAAAAATAAGAAATAAAAAATACTTAACTACATGAAGAAGAAGCAAGAGAAAAAAATTAATGAATAATTAATACAGCAACAAGCAAAAAATCAATGCAAATTTTATGGAATTAAAAATTACCACAATTCAATAAATTTTTTTAGTGAACCAAGAAAGAAAAATTAAAGAAAACCAAACACAATAGAATTATTGGTGCCTTTGCTCTCTCTTTTTATAATAAAATACAAGATTCTCAAATTGATAAAAAAAGTACTGCACACAGAAAAAATCTAGAAAGAAAAGAAGCAAAAATTTCCACTAAGAAAGAAAAATATTTAACATTTAAATAAAAAACAAGGCCCACAGAAATAATAAAAATCTTAAAAAGGCCACATAAAAATTTAAAACTGTGATTTGAAAAAAAAATCGAATAAAAAAACTATCACAAGGAATTGCAACAAAAATAAAAAATTCCCTACAATTATATAATTTAAATTTTTTGCAACAAAAAATTAAAAAAGCAGAACATTTAACCCCAACAAAGCCAATCGGGTTCTCTCCAAAAAAAATTGTGAAACAAAGCAACATATCACTTTTAAAAAGTGCAACTTAATAAGAAAAAAATTGAATTAAAAAAATTCCAAACCTAAGGAAAAAATATCTCTCTCTACAAAAAATCAACAACAACAAAAAGACTGTTTCCAATTCAAACAAACATCTCATTAATTGTACTTAATTAAATTGCAAAAGTAAAAAAAGGGGCAGGACAAATTCCCCTTTTTCACGTCGCCACCAAAAATTCATTTGAAAAAGTTTATCTTCACCAAACTCGAATTCAAAACCATGTTGGGCACAATGGCAATGCGTCAACCCGAAAACTGGCTCTATGAAATTTGGCAAAAGGGCTATGACAGCCCCTGCTATGTTATGGTGCCGAATGCAAAAGTACGTATATATTATCGAAACAACACACCCTATATTTTTTATTTTTCTCTCATAGGATATATACTATATATGGGGGTCCCCCATACCCTGCAAGAAAAATAGTATATATTATAGATTTTTCGTAGTTCCTTCGTATAGAAAGAAATGTTTTTGGCCGAGTCATCATTCTTTAATGATGATGATGGCGCTCGGCTGAAATATTTCTGTTTTTTGTGTAAGACACTTTTTTTGCCAACTTAGCTTTTTTGTAGTTGTCGTCGATGTTGTGTGTGAACGTCGTCGTCTTGGTCGCCATTCACAACGTGTATTATCGATTTTTTTGTTAGCTATTGTGAGCCAAAAAATACTGATAGGAAATATAAAAAAATTAAAAGCCGACTATAGTTCGGAAAAGAAAGTTCAACAAAGATTTTTTGGTGTTATTGAAAAAAATTGGTTACAACAAAATAACAAAAAATAAAAATAAATATAAAAAATTGAACTAGTTCAAATATTAAAAAAATAAATAAAAATATTTAATTTTTTTCTGAAAAAAATTGTGTGATTAATATTAACAAAATGATACAGGTAGAATTTTTATATAATACAAAATAGAGTATTTAATTTTTAAAAATGATAAAATATATATAAATACAACATATTCATTATTATTAAATCTATAGAAATAAACTGGACTTAGAATAGTTTATTTAATATTTTAACAAAGTGATATAACCCTTTTATATTTGTATAGTTTTTTTTTATTATAAAAAATACTATTTAATTAAAAAAATTAAATACAATATACACGCATTAAAAATCTATAAAAAAGTAGATAAAGTATTTTTTTCATTTCTAAAACTAATAAAGTGATATAACCTCTTTTTATTTAGAACGGTATTTTTTCATTGAATATTATTTAAGAATGATTCCATTTTATTTTTTAAATTTAAAAATAATTTTTTTTTATAAATAATTTAAAAATATTTTCTTAAAAAAAAAATTAAGAAATGAAATTATACCCTTCGACTTGTTTAAGGGGATTATGTCACTAATTTTTATTAAAAATTAATAATGTCCAATTTTTACTTAATTTAGAAATATTGTTTTTACAAAAAAGTAATAATTTTTATTATATATATATATAGAATGTTTCCATTTTATTTTTTAAATAAAAAATAATTTTATTTTATAAATAATTTAAAAATATTTTTTTAAGAAAATTTTTAAGAAATAAAATTAAACCCTTCGACTTGTTTAAGGGGATTAGTCACTAATTTTTATTAAAAATTAATAATGTCCAATTTTTACTTAATTTAGAAATATTTTTTTTTACAAAAAAGTAATAATTTTTATTATTTCTGTATATATAAAAAAATATTTTTTTATAAAAAAAAAATAAAAATGAAAATGTACAAAAAAAAAGAAATCCGTTGACTTTTTTAAGTGGATTATGTCACTAATTTTTATTAAATATTAATAATTTCCAATTTTTACTTAAATTAGAAATATTTTTTTTTTTTAAAAGTAATAATTTTTATTATTTCTGTATATATAAAAAAATGGACTTAGTCCTTTTTCCAACCATATCTTCATAAAAACTTAAATTAATTATCTCACAATTTTTAATTTTTTCCAATATTTTTAATACTTATTATTTTTGTTATTTATTATTGTTTTTTGCATTTTTAAATATATATTTTTTTCTCGCCCCTCTCCTCTCTCTCCATGTCATCAATAAATATCAATTTAATAATTTTTTGTTTTAGCACTTGTGCTGCTATAAACAATTGTCTGTCTAGATTATTAATTATGACTGTTTTTGCAACAACAGCAACATCACGAATTGTGTGCACAACTGACGAAATCGAAACCTTGATTTCAATAGTTTTTCAATCAATTGTTTTTTGATTTTTTTTATTTTATTTAAATGATGTGAATGGACGATTATTTACTTCATATCGAATGGTGGTGACGACAAAAAATAATATTTTTTTAAATTGTTTTTTATTTTTCTATATAATAGAAATTAATTTAGTTCACTAAAAAATTTAAATTTTAATTATATTAATTTTTATATTTAATACAAACCCAAAAAAAATTGTGGAAAAAATCATTTAAAGCATATTAGGAGGATATTTTTTGCAAAGATTTTTTTTGTTCATTAACAAAATTTTAAGGCCAAATTTCGAACATTTTTTTTGGTTTCGCACCACTTTTAATGTGGATTTTGAAGAACTCCCCCCGTATAATTTCGAAAAATCTCCTTTCTAGTAATATGCAATTCTTAGTCTCAATCTGTGTGATCTATTCCCTAAGCTATTGATATTTTAACTCTAGAAATTTACTTTTACGCTGCTAACATCTGTTGCTCGATCACGTCATATATAAATGATATATGACTATAGTTTTGAAAAAAAAAATTATTGTAAATTTAGACTTGGGAGTATACCGAGATTTTAACACCTCATTTTCTGCTCTTCTTCGAATCGCTTATAGCAATTGTTTTCCTTAGTAATTATCTATTACTTTTGGCACATGCCATGATCTCATGACTCACTGACGATGCTAAAATTAAAAAAAAAAATGGTGTATTGAATTTAAAAAAAATAAAATTGTGTGTACAATATGTATTAGCGTAATGATATAAACGCAACAGCTGCTTGCTTGCTTGCTGACAACCACAATAGGGGTTTTTGTTGCTGCTGCTAATATTAATCACATGGGGTTGCTAAGTATTTAAAATTGTTGGTAAGAAATGCGAAATAGAAAAAAATGTATTTCTTCTTCAGGAAGACAAAAAAAGACCTGCTGTGGTGGTTGTCTTCAAATCGAATCGGTTTTTAATGACGATGAGACATTATCAGCAAGACAGCAAATAACAAAGCAAGAGGCGTCTAAATTCTTAGACGGACAGCATAGTTTTTTTTTTTTTTTTGAAACATGCTGTTCGTTAGGTTCGGCTAAATTTAAATCTATAGAAAAATATTTATATATATATATGAAAAGATTATAATGATGGCATCAAAAGGAAGTCCTAAAACAATACACACAACAATTTGTCGGGGTATAAAAGAAAATCTCACCCCCTAATGAAAAACAAAAACACACAAAGATTCTAGGCAAATAGTGCGGCAGGTAGTAGAATTTTTTTTTTTTTTTTGAAGTTCGGAAAATACAAAAAAAAAAATCGAAGAGAAATGAACAAGTGTCTTAACGCCAGCGATCTCCTCGAAATGTTTTTTTCAAGGTGCCATACTTATGCTCATAAGTGCGTTTTGGCACATTGAGGCGAACATGTTCGTCAAACTATTTTATTTTCATTTCAAGTACAAGTGAAAAATTTGAAAAAATTTTGTTGTTTTTTTTTTTTTTTTTTTTTTTTTTTTTTTTTTTTTTTTGTTTTGTTTTAGAAATTAGTGCACATTTTGAGCATTGAATTGCATTGGCTGACACACATACCTACTTATCTTGGGGGTTTTCATGTTCGTTTTTTTTTTTTTTTTCTTCTCACTCTCCTACATATTTTCAACATATTATTTTTAGTGCATTTAATTGGTTTGTCAGGTTTTGAAGTGTCAAACAAACGAATGACTGCGTGTGTGGGTGGGTTGATATTGAAATTTTGCTTTTTAATTTATGATGTAAAAACATATTTATGTTGCAATGTGGCTAGGCAATCCCATGTGCTAGACATATGACATTAAATCAATGACTTTCATCAAAATTAAAAAAAAAAAATACAAAAACAAAAAATAAATTATTTTGCTGTGATTTTTGCTCATGAAATATTGCCGCAAGGAGGCACGATTTTTTTGTTTGGTTTTGATTGAGCAAGTTTTCATTGAATTGGAAAAAAATGTGAAATGTTTTCTTTCGAAATTTAACATTGAAAAAATAGATATATTTGAAATGAAAAATTTATTTGAGGAAAAACATATATTTTTCATTTGGGAATTTTTTTGAAAATGCAAAAAAAACACAATAATAATTAAAATAAAACAAAATTAATTAGGAAATTTTTATAACAATATTATAATAATATATAACAAAAAAACAAAAACATGAAATGAAAAGGCTTTTAAAAATTAAAACAAAATTTTTTAAACAAAAAACGATTTTTTTCAAAAATAAATTTTTGGTACTCAAATTTTTATATGAAATCCTTTATATTGTAGTTATATTAAACGCCATATATATTTCAATATAAAAATTGCACTTAACCGAATTTTTTTGCACATAATGTACAGTATTGGACCCTGAAGATGACATAAGAAATATCTAAAGGCCTGAACTATATTTTAAAAATGTTTAGAGTTATATTGTTATATTGATTGTTGAAAACTAATTGAACGCCATCTATAGCTCACTATTATAGATGACTGCTCAAGGGGGCCAAACTAATTTATTTCAAATAATATAAAATAAATTGTATTTTATTTTTTTTTATTTTTAATTTTGTTATTGAGTTTTTATGCAACATGTATATTTTAAGGACTTCAAAGAGCTATGAAATATATTTTCTCAATGAAAAATTTTTGAAGCAGTTTTTGCACTTTCATATATAAATTTTCAAATATAGAATTTGGCCCTGAAATAAGTTGTATTTTCTAAATGTCTCTGCTATATTGAAAAAATATATAGGCTTGAACAATTTTGAAGTAAATGTCATCTTTATCCTATATATGACCATTGTTAATGATAAGATAAAGATGGCGTTCACTTCAACAGCCTATATATAGTGTTCAATATACCCCCACCAAATTGATAAAGGAAATAAATAAAATTTCTCCCTAAACTTTATTGGCTAAAATCGCAATCAATATTAAATTTACTTTAAGCATACATATATTCCATAATTGGATTTTATGAATTAAAAAAAAAATAATTTGGAGGTATATTGATATATAGGCTTGAAAAAAATTTTAAAGTGAATGCCATCTATAGCTCAACATTATTCTTCTGTAGCGTTTCCACCAACCCAGGATGTTTGAATTAAAAAGTAATTTGATGGTATATTG